CAGGCAACCTGTGTGATGGGGAGGTCAGAACCATGAGCCACCCACCCTTGCTGCACCCTCAGCTCTCGTCATTCCAGCCTGTGGTCCAGTGTGATTGCCCCTTCTTGGCTGCAGATCAACAGTGAAGAAGGTGGCCGAGGGTCCGCGTGCACAGCGTGCACTGTGTCAGCTCTCAGCCCCCTCAGGGCTCTGCATCGCAGACCTACAGGTGGCCACCCACTCATTTCCTCTGAGTGGAGAAGGAGCTCAAGAGTGTGTGTGTGGGGAGAGGCAAAGGACTTGGCTGACTTATCAGGACCAGGAAGAAGAACATTAGGAAATTCAGGGACCAGAGGCCTGGAAAATAGAGGAGGAAGCTTTGACTAACCGAGGACGGGCTCCCACTCACCAAGGTTGGCTTTGCTACGACCACTGCCAAATGCCCATGTGACAGCAGCAGAGCCCAATGCTGTGTCTCTGACAGACAGCCAGTACCCTGGGGACCTGCAGGAAGCTACCACCTGGTAGAGCCATGAGACACATTTCGTGTGGTGCAACGGTCTTGCTGAGGCATAACTGACATGCAATAGACTACACATTCAAGGTATGCGATTGCATGCATTTAGACATGGGCACAACCATGAAAACATCATCATAGTCAATATAACCATAAATAAAGGTAAAAGGACAACCACATCGAAAAGTCTCCTTGGGGCACTTTCTAATCCTCTGCTGGCCCTCCCTGCCCTCAGACTGCTGCACAGTCTGCCACTGGGCATCATATTATCTAGTGTTCTATGTATGGGAATGCACAGTCTGTGCTCTTTCCTATCTAGCTTCTCATACATGGAATAAATGTTGCAAGATTTGTCGGTGCTGTGTCTTATATTGTCAGTTCTTTCTCTCTCTGAGTTGTGCAGCATCTCATTGTGTAGACACATTACACTTTACTGACTTGTTGATGGCCATTTCAATTGTTTCCAGCTTTATTTAGTTTGGTAATTTCTTAAGTCAGAAGTTGAGGTGGCTGGTTTGAGACCTGTCTTTCCTAACATAGGTGTCTAGAGCTATAAATGTTGCTCTAAAGACTCCTCTGGTGGCATCCCACAAATGTCATGACATGTTTTGTATTGTAAGTGGGGAGGACAGACTCCTCATTGAAAGACAGTTCTCTGCCATTTCTCCATTGTTCCTCAGTGAGATCCATGCTGAGCAGTGAGATGTTTTAGCCAGCACTAAGTTCCCATACTCAGATGCTCTGACTGCTCCCCCTGCCTGAACTGTCCACTGAGGCTCTTATTTTAGATGTGTGGCTGTTCTAGTGTCAGGCCTTATGTGTGCTGGTTCCAAGTTTCTAGAATCCTGTCTCATTGTGGGTCTAGGAATAAGTAAGGTGCTACTTCAGTTATTTCAAATCTTGGGTCATTTTTCTTCTCTGAAATTCCTCCTAGATCATTGGTGGAGATCACATTTAGGTCAACAAGTTCTTTTGACGTCTTACTTCCATTCCCAAGATTCTCCCGTCCTTCCCGTCATCTAGGTCAAGCATGCAGTATCCAAGCTCCTCACTGGCCTCCACTGGGCCAAGGCTCTTCATGGCCACAGCCCATTTTCCACAGCAGGGTTCTTACCTTGCCATACTTATTTCCTGTAAAAGGGAGAGGCGGGATATACCACTTATTAAAAGGTTGAAAAGTGGTGCATCCTCATCTGGATAGTAAATAAGCAATGTTTTGCCAGCTTAGGGTGAGCATGTTCAGTGATGCTCACATTCTAGCCACTCTACCCAGAAATACCAGTGGGAAGCCCTCACTCATGAGAGGACTACCTTTGAGGGCTACAGGGAACCATAAACCCACAGCTAAGCAGGGATGTGGGGATTACTCCAAACCCTACTTTTACGCAGAGCCTATTTGTGTTTGGACATGGAAATCATTATTAGTTCTTATTGGCTTTTGGCTTAGGCCATAAACGTGAGAGTGCTTACATTTCTGGAAGGTTTGAATAATACTGTATGAGAAATTAAGGGCTACTTATGATATTTAGGATGGAAAAGTTCATTCGGTCAAACATTTTATAAATTGGCACTACTCAAAAATAATTATCAAATTCTGTAGATGTGTACTGCTTCATCTGCTACTTCTCCTGAAGTTCTCTGGAGATTTAATATCATTTTGTATATTCAGTAGGTCTAAAAGAGTAATCAGCTTGGTATCCTAACATCTATTTCAACATACCATCTATTATATAATGCTTTTAAAATGAGAATTAAAAATCATGTACCTGTATGATTTTTTCCACCCTTAATATCTGGCTTCTGCAGTGATTCTCACAGACATCTGAATTACCTGGTCTTTCCAGCAGCAGCCAGTGAAACTATGGGATTTCTGCCCCATTCTAACAGAGCAGGGAAGACCCAGCTTCTTTCTTCCTTTAATCTGATGTTAGTCCAGAAGGGATAAAATCGCTCTTCAGATGGATGAATGTGTTTTGCATACAGCTGTGAAAATTTTCACACATCAGGAGGAATGAGCAACGTGTACTGCTGAACGAAGAAAAAAGCGGTTGCTGTGAAGTGAAGCTTAGAGAAACACACCCAACATTTGTGCAGAAAAGTGAGGGCAAAAATGTGGGCCTCGAGGTCCCCGGTGCACAGTTTAGGGTGTTGTCTTCACAACTAGTCCACCCTAATGACCTGATGAGCGGGTTTGTACCTGTGGATTCATGACCTCCGACAGACGAAAGGTAAATATGCTGTGCTGACAAGTGGAATGGCTGGGTTGTAAAATTCTGGTGGAAACAAAGGCAGCTTTAGAAAACAAAAAGGAAAAAAATTGATGTGAAATAAATTCATTGCAATTCTCTATCAATCACAAGGATAACTGTATTCTCTCAAAGACTGAAGGCTGTGGCATTAATTATTTCAGGAGGTAGGTGGGGAAGATATTTAGGGGTAGAATTTGAGGGTTAAAGAAATGGATAATAAGATGTAAAGAGGATCAAGCCTCAGAGGAGGAAAGCTTTAAACAAGGCCTCCATGGCTCACAAAGCAGAACCGGCACCTCAGGCTGCCTTACCATATATCCTGGCTTACAGAAACTTCCGACTTCCTCTTCTTGTGCCTTCCCCACCTCCTCCAGTACAGAAACCTGGACCGCCACTCCCCATAGACAAGCTGCTGAAAGACACGTCTCCTGCTAGAAAAAGCAAAATCCTAGAAAATTTATTTAATAAGTGGTCATTAGTGTGACCATAGAAATGGGAGTGAATTATAAACTGTAGGAAACAGATAATAATCTTTAATTTATATATACATAAAATTACATATTTATATTTAATTTATATATTTATATTTACTTAGAATTAGATATATTTCAGTTCTTTCCAGTTTTGTTTAGTTTGCTCGTTTTATATGTGTATGAAGTTTTCACACACACACACACACACACACATACACATTAAAGTTTTTCTTTCAGCTCATTCTGTCTTTACTTATAAAAAGACACACAGAGACTGAAGTGGATCTTGCCTCGACAATCCTAGACTTTGTGTTTAACTCATGACACCATATTTACTCCAAACAATAATAACAGAAATGAATGGAAATTTCATGGCTTCTACTTTATTTTAAAGTAATTGCAGCACAGTCTCTAATTCCAGTTATGTAAATATCTAGACTGATGTTTCCAGACGTCAATGTGGTTAGCGTGTGCACAGATCCTCAGGGCTTCTGACACGTTCCCAGACACACAGATGGGGCAAGTCCAAAGATCACACTGGAGCAAGAGAAGATTTAGGATACTTGGGACAATCAGAAGAGTTAATTAACGATTAGATGTGTGAGGACAGCTAACGACTTGGACAGAAAAACAAATCTAGGAAGAAAAGGCTTAAGGAATCAAAAAGAGGCAAAGGATGGAAAGTTCAAATGGGAGGAGCCCAAGTGTTTGTAGCACAGGGTGAGCGTCTCTGAGCCTGGTCCCAAGGCTCTCTGCCCTGTGCACTGCACCTCATCGAGCGCACCCGCACGTTGCTCTCTGTGTGCTTCTCAACACTGCACAGTACAGCAGCAATGCACTTTTGGAAATGATATTTATAAAGTGGCCTGCGACCTTCGCAGTCGGGGAGAAGCTCCCTTCTCTCAGTGTCTCTCCCTCCTGGACTCTGGTATTATGAACTCTAGCAGTTTATTAAGGATAAATCCTAGTGATGATTCTTGCAATACAAAGGTTTGTAACTAAGTCCTAAACTGTGCATTTATATGAAGCAACACATGTATAAGTGAGTAAAAATCAAAGTGATTGGAAGAAACTCCCATTGTTCTAGAAAGTGGGACTGAGTGGTGCCAAGGAAGTTCTGAGGGCTCTGCAAGGCATCCAGAGGGTGGTCGATCATCCTGAGGGTTTCACCTCTCTTGATGCAAGGGACAGCAGCACATCTTCTGTCGCCAACCATGATAGACAAGGAGGCAGAGGGAGTGGGACAGGCTTGGGGCAGCATCTGCTGTCACAGCTCTTGAAGGCACCCATGGGATCGTGTGGGGACATCTGTGCCCGGAGAGGCAGGTGACAGCCAGCGCACTGCACGCGACGGTGGAGGGCAAAACCCCAGTGCCCAGAGCTCCCTGCTCTCTGCACTCCAGCTTTCTGTGTGCAGTTGGTTTAGAGTCAGAGTCAGGACCTGCAGAAAGGCGGTGCCATTCCTAGGTGTTGTTCAATAGCTACCCCAGTATGTGATGGGGTTCAGAGGAGCAGGTTTTAGTTGCAAGGCTCCTCCTCTGGTTTAGGACTGCTTAAATTTAACATGGAAAACATGAGCTTCTCAGCCCAAGTTAAAAATAGATCCCGCTAAAAGGAATTATTTGAGAAATTAGCAAAATGCCTTAGACTCCCACTTTGGGGAGAAAAAAGTCAGTCCTCACAATTAACTGTATTAATAATTCCTTAGTTGTGAGGTCATAATGCCTGCTTAAAGGGATCCAGAATCTTCCAACCTCTCTGTGTTAAAAACAATAGCTGCAGACTATTTTGCCACCAGTATGTGGGTGGTTGGAGGAAATGGAAAAAATAGAAATTCACAATGCCTAATGATTTATTAATGAGTTTCATCTTCTCTCTGGAATGGGGACCACTAATTACATGTGTGTCTAATCACTGGCTGCGGATGGAATGCTGCAGCATCAGCCGAGCCCCAGAGGGGACCCAGGTGGGGGACACTCCTTTAGCCACTTGCAACCCTGCACTGCAGACGGGCTGGCAGACAGAAGTTGCCCTTGAATCTCTCCATCTGGGGCCACTAACTTTGATTAGGAACTGAAAGCAGAGTTTGTTTGTTTTGTTTTAAGAGCCTTCTGCTAACAAAGATGTATCATTACTCTGCTGGGTGGGAAGGCCCAGAATAGCTCAGTGCCTTGCCATTATCACTCCAGAGTTAAAAAAAAAATCACCAGGATTTCTTAATGGAATTAATTAATTAATGTATTCCTTCAATAAAGGTGGAGTTAATGAAGTAAAGACTGGGTGGATAATTTTAGCATCTTGGGCCAGATCTGGGCTATGCCATTCTTCACCCCCAGGTAAGGACCCTGTAGGATGTAATTTTAAAACAACTCACTAAAAATAATCGCACGATTATTTAAAAAACAATGCAACTTTAAATTTGTATTTTAAAAACAATTTAAAAAATGAAGAGTAAGGAAGCGTACCCTAGCTCTTTCTTGTTGGTGTTTTTAATATAATGAACAGAATCTTAGGGAATGGAAATGAAAGAGGGGAAGCATCTAACAATCCTCCAGCTCCATCCTTTTCCAGGTGGAATTATTGCTCATGTTAAACAGGTTTCCTTTTTGATTTTTGCAAAAGGCACTGGGGCTCAAATCCCAGTCCTCATGGCTCAGCAAGTGCTGGACACTGAGCTGCTCCCTGCCAGTGCCTTGGCCTTCAGCGCCTTGCCTGATCCACTTCCGTCCCTGGCTTCCACCACCCACAAGCAGACAGGATCTTGGACAACTCGTCTTTCCACCACACACATATCTTTCTGTGTAACTTCTTTAATATCGGCTGAATTTCTGACCTCGTAGGGTGGAGGTCCTGGTGATTTGCATGTTTAACAAGTTCTCCAGGGACCTTCACATGCTGACCAGGCAGCCCCTTCAAGAACCGCCATCTCAGACGAGAGAATCTTAAGGCCCTAGCGGGTTTTCTAGTTCCTCCTCTGTCCTAGCACCCTCAGTGTTACCCTGCTGCTTTTGAGGGGCACCTTACCAAGCCCCCTGCTCTCTGTCCTGGATTTCACTTGTTTTGTGGCAGAGATTCAGCGCAGCTGTGTGGGTTCCTCTTGTACTTGTTTAGTGAGGGCTTCTCAGATGGTTTTTCAGCAAGTGTGGTCCAGGAACCGCATGCAACAGCATAGTCAGCGCTCAGCAGGAATGCGTGTGCTGGGCCCAGTGCAGACCTCCAGGGTGGAGGCCTTCAGGTGCTCGTGCCATGCTGCGAACTTCTGCATCAGAGCCACATTAAGACCCTCTTTCACTTGTATCTCTTCTGGGTGAAAATGCTTGAACTTCTTCAAGTTTTCCTCCTTAAGTTACTTTTCCAGATCTTCTCTGAACCCTCTCCAAATTGTTTGAGTAGCAGGGGATAAATTTTTGGGCATATTTTCAAAGAGTTCTGCATGCTGTTCCCATGTGTGGGTTTCTGCCCAGTATTTACAGAGCTTTTTAATAGGCAGTGTTTTGGGAAATGGCTCCTGAAACGGACTGAAAAGGCAAGGGGAATAAAGTTGCTTTAATTTTTGAATTTTGTATTTAGTCTTCAGGCCGAAATTTGTTTCTTCATAATTATCTTCATGAAAGACACTTTACAAGCATTGTTTAAATATTTTTTAAATTCATATTTAGGTTTTAAATTCTTTAACTTGTCCCATCTCCTTTCATTACTGACTATGGTTTCATGAATTTTAGCCGGAAAAATGACTGTTTTGGGGAAATTTTTTTCTTTTTGAAGTAGACTAGTCATTGGCTACATTGGTGAAACTTTGTTATTTTTGAAGTCAGTGATGAAGATAGCAAGTCTTGCTTCTTGGCATAGGAAGCTGTCTCAGAGAGGGTTCTGGGAACCTGGAGGGAATTCAGTGACACTTCTAATTAGTCCAGAGTAGCTAATCTAAGCAATTGTTTCCTAGGTTTTAACACCTTAAAAGTGAAACTTTTTCTTGGCTTGTGTCAGTAATAAATATTATCTTATTCCCAGCCAACCCAGGAGTTCCTAAGACTTAGCATTGCTGGCCCTCCAGGGCAACTGCAGAGGCAGAGGCAAATCCAAGCGCTTTGGAACGGTGGAATGGGAGCCTTGGGGAGGCCCATCCTGGGCTGCAGTTCCAGGTCTTCACTTTGTAGATGAGTAAACTGGTGCACAGAAGCGACTTGTCCTGGACCCCAGGATTCACACTCAGAGTTGCGCTTTCCTGTGTCGTAGCATCTGCCCACTGGAGAAGAAAACAAACGAGAGTAAGAACAATAAGAAATGACCTCAAATCAGATAATGCTGTTTTATTTTTCCAGAAGAAATTTCTCTTTCTGGTCTGCTTCATCAGAACACAGTAGGGTCCTGCGAGGGGTCCCTACTGCTACTGTAACAAACTGACTTACAGTAGCACGCGTGTCTGTCTTACCCTCTGGAGATGGGGCTCACGATAGCCTCACAGGGTCGCGTGGAGGCTTCAGCCCGTTGTGCTCCTCTGGACTGCATCCAGCTCCTTCCTAGACGCTGCCCATGACCCTTAGTGGTGCCCACCCAAGCCCTGCAGTGCTTTCTGAGCCTACCCCGGCTGGCAGCATCCTCACAGCCCACCTAACATTCGCCGTCCTGGCACCTTCTCCCACGGCCGGGGATTCTTTCATTACCGAGGAACCGCTGGACCCTACAGCCCCCATTCCAAGGGCAGTGTGAGCAATTCTGAAACCTTGATTGTCTCTGGCCTTGTAACACCACATAGCCATCATTACAGGGATTAGGGTGTGAACGTCTTTGGAGGCCCATTCTCCTACCTGCCCCAAGTTCCATTGGAAAACCAGCTGAGAATCATAATTCTGATTCCCCAAGGGTGTGCTCTGGACCAATAGTACCAGTTCACCCAGGGCTGTTAGATGTGCAGATCTTGGATCTGACTCCAGTCTACTGCACTAGAACTCAAGGGTGGGACCCAGAAAGCTGCCTTAACAAGCCCTCCCGAGGGTCTTACAGATGCTAGTGTACTGCTGCTGCTTCATGTAGCATCACAAGGTCTGGAATAAAAATTCAGGTGAACAATCTATTGACAATAACACTATCAGTTGATAATGAACTTTGCATTTTCCTATTTTTTCTTAGAATGCAAGGCAACAGGAATCTTAAGGGTTCTAGAATTGCTCTAGAGCCTCCAAGAATTCAGAGACCAGGCCAGTGTGTCATTTCTGTCTCCTCAAATCCACACGAACCCAGGCAGTTTGGTTTTTAATACTCTAATATTATTTACTTTTTGGGGGAAGGGAAAGCAGAATTGCATACAATTTTATTGGAAAAAGGTACTGCTAAAATTTTTTTCTGAAAAGCAACTAAGTGTATTAAAAAATTGTTTACAAGTGTGTGAATTGGGTCCTGCAAGGTTCTCTCTCACTTTTATGTGTGGACTCCTGCTGCGCATCAGCCGAGTGGGACAGAACGCCTCGACTTGGACCTGAAGCCCGGGAGCCTTCTGTGACCAGCAAGGCGTGGAGAAGTCACCCCAGTCCGTCGTCTGCTCACCTGTGAAACAACCCAAAACCCCATCTTCACTTTGTCTCACGAAACTGAGGCGTTGAGGCTATGGTGGACTTTCCAAGCCCCTATCCAGAGAGCGCCACTAACCCAACATTGTGCAGACCAAGGGGCACCATCAGTGACAGCGTGTCATCTGTGGCAGACTGGAGTTTGAGTGGCAGAAAGATTCACAGAAAAGAGTGGGAACCAAAACCCCAAACCCCAGATAAACAGAAGATCGGCCCCACTGCCATCTGCCCGGGGCTAGCTGCTGAAAAGGACTTTCTCAAACCAGCAGCCCCTAAAGCCACCCCGCGTAAATGCCAGGGGAGAATCAGTGTGAAGAAGCTCGAAAATCCAGAATATTTGTTCCTTGCAGCTTTGGCTGAGGGCGGAGTCTTCCCTTAACCTGCAGAACTTTTGGGAGTAAAAATAGCAGGAACCTCAAGTCCTTCTTGGGTTTCTGTCTTTGCACCATGATTTCTCTGGTCCACTTCATAGCTTCCAGGCGGGCCATTCTGAATTATCAAGTTATCTTTCTTCTATTACTTTAAGACCTCCTGGATTTACATAAACCCTTCAAAGCCTCTTCCTAATTAAGAATCCAAAATTTAAAAATACTGGGCTGGGGATTTAGCTCAGTGGCTCTGCTGCCTGCCTCGTAAGCACAAGGACCCAAGTTTGATCCCCAGTACCAAAAAAAAAAAAAAAAAAGAAATAGTGGTTCTCAAAATTTAAAAATACTGCTTGAAATACTATGTGATGGGCCTGTGTTAAACCCGCCACACATGCAAAACCCTTGGCCTTGCTAAATGTATGTATTTCCCCTCTTTTCTCTTGTCTGGATTTTGCAAATATTTTTATTTTGGTTTAATCACTTTGTGATATTACTTATTTCATGTTTTCACATTTGTCTCTGATGTGCACAGCTTTCAAAGCTAACATTATATTGGTCTGAACTCATGCACTATTTTAAGGAAGATTATTTTGATTATCTTCCCAACTGCCTTCAGGCTGTTTCCATCTTTGTGTGGGCTTCTCCTTCTCCTTTGTTTCCTTATCTAATGAGGCTTGAGAGGTATCAGAAAACAAGTCAGTGGTATGCTTCATATCCAGATGTCCCCCCAAAGCCTAGTGTGATCCTAGGGTCATAGATGGGCTTCTGAGAGTGGATGGATTATAGGGGCGTTGTAACTGACTGTCAGGAGGCAGAATCAGGGTGGAAGAGGTGAGTCACCATGATCGTGACCTGGGATGGTTTATTTCCTCCCCTCTCCTCCCTTCAGTCTCTCAGCTTCCTGTGTACCATGAGGTGGGCAGCTCTCCTCCACCAGACCCTTCCGCCGTGCTGCTTCTGCTGGAGCCAGCAGGCTATGGACTGAAACTTCTAAAATGTGAGCCAAATAAACCTCTCCTTCTTTAGGTTGCAGATGTTGGGTATTTTGTCCCAGTGACGAGAAAATGACTAAAACAGACAGTTTTGGATTTGAATCAGCTTTGCTTCTTTCTGACTGTTTCTGTTCCTTCTCTCTCTCTATTTCTACATAAACTTGGGAACTTTAAGGTTAATATCTCAGCCTCAGTTTTCTCAGTTGAAACAAGGATTACCATGTAAGTGGTAATGAAGAGTAAAATGTATGCTCATGTGAGTGTGTATATGTTTGGGTCTAAGTAAATATGTATACATATTTAAATGGGGGCACATTTATCTAAAGCTGTGATTGATGAATAACGGCTGCTCAATGAGTATCAATTTCTACCTCCTCCTAGTCAATAATTCTTATGAAATATGGACTGTGATTCACCCTTCTTAACCCCATCCCCATAAGTCTTATGCTCAGGTCCCTGTGTTCAGCCACCTAGTTCTTTTGTCCTTATCTTTCACCTATCATTTCCTGGAACTCAGGCCTCACTGGGTTACTCCCATACTTAGGTGCACGATGCAGACAGCTCTCCAGTGCTCCCGTGCTCCTGGTGCTGCACTTTGATTTTACTTCTGATAAAAATGACTTTTTTTCATCTCTATTGTGCTCAGTTCCTTCCCTCCCTTCTTCCTGCCTACTTGATTGCTTTCCTCCCTCCCTCGAGCTCTCTCTCCTTTCTTCCTTTCTGTGCTGGGGCTCAAACCCAGGGTCTCTCCTGCTAGGCAAGAGCTCTAGCCCTGAGCTGCACCCGGGCCCTGCGCTCAGTTTTACCTCTGAGCCTTTGCTTATTGTAGTAGGATTTTTACATTGTATGTATGCCAAGTATAATTCTGAAAGAAAATGTTTAGAAATTCACTAAATGCTGCATATGCTTAATAGGGTTTGTTGAGTCTCTCTGTACACTACAGAAGTCAATTAACTGAGGCCAGAAAATGAAATTGTTGTCAAACAATTCAAGTACAATTTGTACAACTGAACTGTGGGAGGGTAAGGATTTGAGAGTCTTTGGAACAGCCAGAGGCAGAGCTGAGAGGTGCAGGCCCTCGGCCTCTCATCCCTGCTGCTCTGGGCCCCGTGGGTCTGTGTTCTCTCCCCAAAGACTCAGCTCTACCCAGGGCCCTTCCTGAAGGAGCTGGGAGGGAAGGGACCTATACGGCATCTTTGGTTTTTTGTACTGGGGCTTGAACTCAGGACTTTGTGCTGCCAGGCAGATGCAGTGCAGCTGAGCTACATCCTGGCCCAGTACTGCATCTTTGTTGACACTGCCTCTGGGTGGTTGGGGGTGTTTGGGGGATTATTTGAGTTTGTTGTCCTGGAAATCATCAACCCTGACTTCACGCAATATTAATGACTTGGTGTTAATGAAAGAGATGTTATGCTGACCTCAGTGCCCCACCGCCCTGGCTCAAAAGACATTTATCATGCTATTATAACTCTGCTGCAAGGGCCTTCTGAGAGTGAACTTGTGAATATAATTAATTCTTATTTATCCATTAAATGTCACCACTGAAAAGTACATCATATACACCATACTGTTGTAGTGTTTAAATGTATGGCTTCACTTGTTTTGACCATACAAAGATGACTACACACTTTTGTCCAAAAAGGTAAGTTGTGAAATAAATCAGCTCTGTATTTGCCAGTGGAATACCTAATCCACGGCTGAACATCAAACATCCACCAGTAATATTTTCTAAGTCTGTGTAGCTAGTTCAGCCTTTATTTTAGACAGCATCTTTTGGTAGATTAACTATTACAAAGAATAAAAATGGCAAAAGTAGAACCATTATTTGAATAATAAAGTAATAAATATTTATTTTCCTGAATTGCATCATATCCACTAGTTGTTTCTCATCACATATTGAAGTCCTACTTAGCTTTGCAGTGTCTATTTTATCTTGATGAAAACCTTAAAATTTAAGGGAATCTTTATCGAGTTTGCATCTGTCAAAATTAAAAAGTAAATGAAAGGAATGTGGCACCTAACTGAGACTGGGACTTCTCATGCCCCCATGGATTTCTCTGTACATTTAGGAGTTGAGGGGGGATGTTAGTCCAGAGCAGCAGGGATCCGCTGTGATTCTGGAGCCTTACCAGCTGAGCTGCTGACACAGCGTGAGAGCTTATCAAGGATGAAAAGGCTGTCTCTGGCCTGAGCCGAAACACTCTCTCCTACTGCTTTGCCCTGCATATGTCTGTGTGGGGCTAAACATCTGGCAGACCACTTATTATTTGTGAATGAGGGCAATTATCCATGTCACAGGTGTGTTACCCTCTGAAAGATCTTATTTCATTCTAATACGGGCATGTCTGCAAATAATTTATGAGGTGCACCTATTTTATAGTCATCTTTCCATCTTTCCTATGGAGAGTAATTGCTAAGCTGCTTCTCCTCGTTTTTCTTTTTCTTTCTCTTTCTTCTTTTTTTAATGAAGGGTTGGGCTGTGACCTCTTTTAGGTAGGATATTGATTGTAGCACCTTTGATGAAAATATGAATGCTAAATAAAACACTGGTCTTTCCTGTAAAGCATAGAGGTTTCCCTGTAAACTATAGTTGCTACAATTTGCAAAATAATCTACTTCAGGATCACATTGCCTTGTAGTGAAAGTAGTCTAGAGGTTCTTGTTAGCACTCTCTCTTTTGGGGGCCCTCTCTCTCTCTCTCTCTCTCTCTCTCACATCAGCAACAGATAGAGAAGTCTGGTGGTCAGCACTGTACTTGTCTAGTTATTTTTTAAATAGCAGATTTTATGAACTTTCCTCTTCTGTGGTTTGGTCCTGTGAATTAGTCCTTGAAAGTCAAGGAGCTTTCAAATCTTAATAAAATAAATAAGTTCTCATTTACATTTTGCATGTTTGCAAATAATTAATATAGTTTATTAATAGACATGGCAGGACTTTGGACTCATTCTGTAACAGGCGGCATTCTTTTTAAAGTCCATTTGAGTCATTTGAAATTAAAAACAGTGGAATCTTTCCTTTCCATGCAGCCTGTGCTCTGTGTGGAGGTCTCCAACAGAAATTTATATGAGATACTTATAATAGAAAAGGACACAGGACGTAGGTGTCAAAAGCGCTTCCCAGTGGCCAGATTACTTCACACAAACCACTTACCCTTCTTGAACTGGGCAAAGCAGCCAGGCGTACGGACCTGGGGACAGAGCTGGTGTAGGTCCTGGCTCTGTCCCGTCCCTCCCTATGTGCCTTCTCCTTCGCTTCAGTTTTCTGGATATAAACTGAGGGTAGGAATCATGTCACAGTAAGATACATTTGCCTGAAATGCTTAGCATAGCACCTTACAGAGAGAGGCTCTGAAGGCCTGAGGATGTGACTGTTCCATAATTTTAGGTTAATATGCTCAGCGCATATAACCATTGCCATCAATAATCATAAAATGAAAACAGTACCATCCTACCTGTCTCAAAAGTTATTATAATGTCACATGTTGGCATCTGTATAAATGAAGACAGTATTTTGGTATTTTATAAGCTATCACCATCTTATGTCAAAGAATCCTATCTTAGTGGTGCCAGAATCTGGGGGCCCTGTCCTGTCCGCTGGGGTACTGGTGGCTCTTCGTATGGGTTGGGCACCTGGCAGAGCGCTGGGTGCTCTGCTGAGATGAGTGATTGTGTGGATGACTTTGCATTCTTTGAAGCTTGCAGCACATTTGGATCCTTTCGCTTACTCTTAGTTTGTTAGTCTTAAGTAGTTGGAAATCACTGGGGAAAAATGAAGTTAAATTCTGGGATTTTAAAATTTAAAAGTCTGGAGAAGGAATTGAACTGAATTAAGGTAAAGTCCATTGAGAATCTCTGGGTGTTCCCAGTTGCCACTGAATCTTGAGTGACTTTGATCAGGGACACCCAAGGGTCCAGCCAAGGGGAGTAGGGAGCCAGGGCCACTTCCTGTTAGACGAAGTCAAGAAATACATCACTGGCTCTGTAGACTGATTTTCCTCTCCTCTTCATTCTTCTTTCTCAA